TTGTAGCAGTCCGTTGACAGGGAACTGCCAGAAGTTCAAGCCAGATTCAGAAGAGGACATGGAATGAAGGATATCATTGCTGATGTCAGATGGATCTTGGCTGAAAGCAGAGGATACCAGAAAGATGTTTACCTGTGTTTTATTGACTGTGTAAAGGCATTCGATTGTGTGGATCATAACAAATTATGGATAACATTGCAAAGAATAGTAATTCCAGAACACATAATTGTGCTCATGCAGAACCTGTACATTCCAGAACCCTATTGGCTCAAACATAGCAATGATTGTGAGGATGGCGTAGGACTGGGCAGTGTTTTGTTCTCTTGCACATAAGGTCACTATGAGTCAGAACCATCTTGACAGAACCCAACAACAATTGGTGGGAGTATAAATTAGTACCAAAACAACAACCACAAAAAAACCCATTGCCGTCGAGTCAATTCCGACTCATAGCGACCCTATAAGGCAGAGTAGAACTGCCCCATAGGGTTTCCAGGGAGCGCCTGCCGAATTCAAAGAGCCGACCTTTTGGTTAGCGGCTAAACGCCTAACCATTACACCACCAGGGCTTCCATAAATTAGTACAGCCACTTGGAAAATAGATTGGTGTCACCTAGAATGGTTGAAGATGCGCAACCTTTATGACCTAGCGCATCTGATCCTGTGTGCATTCCCTAACCAGAAGACATGCACAAGAACGTTCACACTAGCAGTATTTCTTAATGGCCTCAAACTGAGCCAAATGTCCATGCGCAGAAGCATGGATACATTAATCAAGGTGTAGTCATGCAGTCTGGTCGCTAGGTGGCGCAAACGGTTTGTGCTTGACTACTAATTCAAAAGATTGTTGGTTGGAACCCACCCAGCGGTACCATGGAAGAAAGGCACTCTGTTTCCATTAAGATTACCCCTTGCCATCAAGTCGATTCCGACTCATTAGGTCAGAGGAGAATTATCCTATAAGATTCCCAAGGAGCAGCTGGTGGATTCAAACTGTCGACCTTTTGGTTAGCAGCCAAGCTCTTAACCACTGCACCGCCAGGGCTCCCCATTAGGATTACAGCTTAGAAAACGCTATGGAGCAGTTCTTCTCTGTAACACATGGGATCACCATGACTCAGAATCGACTCCACAGCAACCAACAACAACATAGTCATACTATGGGATAGGTCACAGCAAAGAAAGGGAACAAATTCCAGCTGGATAGGAAACACGAGGAAGATATGTCAACGGTGGATGAGTCTTATAATGTTGAGCAAAAGAATACAAACGATTCAACGTAGGGATACATAGTGAGTAGGACAAGTTTGTTTGGCTGTGGTAGCAGAGCAGTGATCTGGTGCTGGCAATATCCTGTTCCTTCCCTTGGTTTATAACTATTTGTTAATCTGTACGTATGTTCTTATGCACTTTCTTATGTGAAAATTATCTTTTATAATTTTTAAAATGTTATTATAAAAAAGCAAGCAAGCAATTGGCTAATATAGGATGGACTGCCTGGGCTTGGCTGCTAACTGAAGATTGGAGAGTCTAGTCCACCCAGAGGCACTTCAGAAGAAAGGCCTGATGATTTACTTCTGAAAAATGAGCCATTGAAAACCCTATGGAGCACAATTCTACTCTGACACACATGGGGTCAACATGAGTCAGAATTAATTGGATGGGAGCTGGTTTGGAGTTGCGTAGGAGCTAGATCATTAATATCGAGTATATACAGTCATGCATCACTTAACCTACACTAGACGTTCTGTGAAATAGGATGTTATGGGTCCGAGTTGCCTCGGTGGCAACGGGTCTACTAGATATGTTGTTGTTAGGTGTCATCACCATTCTTGGGAACAGGCATAAATATAGATCTCTTCCAGTCAGTTGGCCAGGTAGCTGTCTTCCAGATTTCTTGGTATAGATGAGTGAGCACTTCCAGCGCTGCATCTGTTTGCTGAAAAATCTCAATTGATATTCCATCAGTTCCTGGAGCCTTGTTTTTCAACAACGCCTTCATTGCGGCTTGGACCTCTTCTTTCAGTACCATCAATTCCTGATTATATGCTACTTCCTGAAATGGTTGAATACCAACCAATTTTTTTTGGTATAGTGACTCTGTGTATTCTTTCCATCTTCTTTTGATGCTTCCTTTAATATTTTTTTTCCTGTAGAATCCTTCAATATTGCAACTTGAGGCTGGAATTTTTCTTCAGATCTTTCAGCTTGAGAAATGCCAAGCTTGTTCTTCCCTTTTAGTTTTCTAACTCCAGCTCTTTGCACATGTCATTATAATACTTTATCTTTTCCAGCTGCCCTTTGAAATCTTCTGTTCAGCTCTTTTACTTCTTCATTTCTTCCATTTGCTTTAGCTACTTGATGTTCAAAAGCAAGTTTCAGAGTCTCTTCTGACATCGTTTGGTCTTTTTTTTCTTTTCTGTCTTTTTAATGACCTCTTGCTTGCTTCATGTACGATGTTCTTGATGCCATTCCACAACCCATCTGGTCTTTGGTCATTAGTGTTCAAAGTGTGAAATCTACTCTTGAGATAGTCTCTAAATTCAGGTAGGATATACTCAAGGTCCTACTTTGGCTCTCGTGGACACGTTCTAGTTTTCTTCAGCTTCAGCTTGAACTTGCAGAGGAGCAAGTGATGGTGTGTTCTGCACTCAGCCCCTGACCTTGTTCTGACTGATGATATTGAGCTTTTCCATCATCTCTTTCCACAGATGTAGTCGATTTGATTCCTGTGCATTCCATCTGGTGAGGTCCACTCGTAGAGTTGCCGTTTATGTTGTTGAAAAAAGGTATTTGCAATGAAGAAGTCGTTAGTCTTGCAAAATTCTATCATGCGATCTCCTGAGTCGTTTCTATCATCAAGGCCACATTTTCCAACTATCAATTCCTTCTTCTTTGATTCCAACTTTCGCATTCCAATCACCAGTAATTATCAATGAATCCTGATTGCATGTTTGATCAATTTCAGACCGCAGTAGTTAGTAAAAGTCTTCAATTTCTTCATCTTTGGCCTTAGCGGTTGGTGCATAAATTTGAACAATAGTCGTATTAACTTGTCTTCCTTGTAGGCATAAGGATATTATCCTATCACTGACGGCATTGTACTTCCGGATAGATCATGAAATATTCTTTTTGAGGATGAATGCAACGCCATTCCTCTTCAAGTTTTCATTCCCGGTATAGTAGACCGCGTGATTGTCTGATTTAAAATGGCCAATACCAGTCCATTTCAACTCAGTAATGCATAGGATATCGACGGTCATGCATTCCATTTCATTTCTGACCGCTTCCAATTTTCCTAGATTCATACTTCATATATACCACGTTCTGATTATTTATGAATGTTTGCAGCTATTTCTTCTCATTTTGAGTCGTGCCACATCAGCAAATGAAGGTCCTGAGAGCTTGACTCCATCCATGTCATTAAGATCAACCCTGCTTTGAGGAGGCAGCTCTTCCCCACTCATCTTTTGAGTGCCTTCCAACCTGAGGGGCTCATTTTCCTACACTGTATCAGACAATGTTCCACTGCTCTTCATAAGGTTTTCACTGGCTAATTTTTTTAAGAAGTAGACCACCAGGTCCTTCTTCCTAGTCTTAGTCTATAAGCTCAGCTGAAACCTGTCCGCCATGGGTGACCCTGCTGGTATTTGAATACTGGTGACATGGCTTTCAGCATCACAGCAACACACAAGCCCCCAAAGTACGACAAACTGACAGACCCATGGGGGCTACTAGATATAGATACAGGTAATTTTGGAATCAGAAAAGGCTTTTAGAAAGTACTTATTTAATTAAAACCTTCCTGTATTTTACTATAAACAAAGGATAAAAAATCCATGAAAAACCCATTGCTGTCGAGTCGATTCTGACTCATAAGCAACCCTATACGACAGAGTGAACCGCCCCAGAGAGTTTCCAAGGACCATTTGGTGGCTTTGAACTGCCTACATTTTGGTTACTAGTAGCTGTCAACCATCATGCCAGCAGGGCTTCATAAGAAAGGATAAATCAAAGGATTTTATTGGTGGTTCTGGACAGAGAAGTATTGTAATTAGGTCTCTCCAAATGCTAACGCACACCAGGTACTGCCCTGGATTTAAAAAAAAAAAGCATTTCCTATCCTTAAGGACCTCACACGCTTATAATAATATAAATATAAACGAAGCACATAAGCAAGACCAATCAGCACAAGATATGACTGTGACTAAATGAACCACAGACAGGAAAAAGCAAGGTAAGCTGGAGTCTGATCAAGCACCGGGAGGTAAGCAGACTGAGAAACGACTACCGATAGTCTCTTATTGACAAACATGAAAAGGTTCATAAGACGACAGTGAAAACCCATTGCCCTCCAGTCGATTCTGACTCACAGTGACCCTGTATGGCAGATTAGAACTGCCCCGTAGGGTTTCCTAGGTTGTTAATCTTTATGGGAGCAAGACTGCCACACTTTTCTCCTGTGGCTGGTGCGTTTGAACCGCCGACCTTTTGGCTAGCTGCCGAGCGCTTAACCACTGTGTCCCTAGAGCTCCTAAGATGACAGTATCAGAACTAAAATTACAGTTGAATTTGTAAATAAGGGCTATCTGTTTTTTTCTGTCATTCTACGTGTTTAAGGAGGATCCGTTAACAACGAGTGCTTGCCACGCGCCAGGTACTGTTCATGCATTAACTTAACCCGCCTCATAACATCCCCAATAGGTAAGTGCTAGTAGCATCCGACTTTACAGAAGAAGAAACCAAGGCAGAGAGGTCAGGTAACTTGCTGAAGGTCACACAGCTAGCTGGTTGAAGAAAAAAAATCAACATTTAAAAATCAGTGGTTTTCCCACATCCGGCAACAACCAATCAGGAAATGTTCAGGCAAAGCGGCCCCGCCCCGGAATCCCCAAGGCAACAAAGGGAAGTGACGTAAAGCCCACAATCCCCATGGCCGCCGCTCCAGCCTGGGTAGTCCGCTGAAGCCGAGCGCGCAGCTGGCGGAAGTGACATCATCGGCGCGCGCGGAGTTCGGTAGGATCGGGCAGGGTCGCCGTGGCGGGCGCTTGGGCCGCCTGCTGTTGAGGTTGTTTCCACCGGCAGATGGTGGTCACTACAGGGACTCCAGGTAGCAGCCTTTTCCACTTCCCCACATTTTCTGTTCTTTGGTAGTCGTGGGTGCAGGAGGCTGGGGCTCGCGCAGAGGAGGCGGCTGCAGCGAGCTGTCGGGCGATGGCGGGTCGGGCGCGGAGGGACGCAGGCCCCGCGGAGATGCTGCCCCGGCTCCTGTCGCTCCAGCAGGCGTGACTGAAGGCGGTTCCCTGTTGTGCGGGCACCGGGCGCCTGGAGGGTCCCGAGGCGGAGGCCGAAGACCCATAGTTTCCCTGCCTGCTTCTGTCGCCCTCGGGGGTACATTACCAGGCCCCGACGTGTTTGGCTACCGGTAGGGGTGGTTCTGTTAGGCAGTTGTGCTTGGGACATTCTAACGTTTGTCAGAGGCCCGAGACTTGTGATATAAACACACACCGCTTTATTCACAAGGCCGACATCCCTGGGCTCAGGCCAGCGGTGGTTTTCCAGTTTGAGACTCCAGGTAGGCTTCTCTGTGAAAAGAAGCCTCTTAACACGTTATGCTTGATTGAGTTATGCAGACACTAGCAGGCTCCGCATAATTATAATCAGTCTCTTCCCTCATCAGTGATTGCCTTCGAAAGCTGTTGAATTTGATGCTTTCATTTCGAAAAGATTAAGACGCTTTGCAAGCAGCTTTCTTCTCTAAGGATAAGATAGTGCAGAGATAACGGTGGCGTCATGATGATCGGGTGGAAAGTGCCATCATGGGAATGAGGTTCGCTCTGACGTTACGACATGAGGCCCCCAACCTAGCTCCTTAGGTTTCTTTCTTCTTCAGACTTACTTTGCCGAGAGTGGCCTGGAGCCACCAAAGTTCTGGACAAATCTCTAGGGGGTCATATTTGTGAGTGCTTTAAATCCTACTACTCCCTTTACCTCTTGCCTCAACCGCAGCAATGACCCTTAAACTGAACTTCATCCTCCAGTTTTGGTCCCAGGATTCATCCACACCTACCAAGGAGCCCTTCTAAACAGATCTGCTCGGGCGCACTTCAGAATCCTGTAACTGTTTTTACTTCCTGTATGGTAGTGCCCAGAACTCTTGGCGGTGTGGCCCCAACGGTATTTGCTGTCATATCTCCTGCAGCTGCCTTTCACAGAACCATACTAAGCTCTTGTTGCTGCACATTGCATGCTCTTTCATCGTTTCTTTGTGCTTGACCCTTTTGCCTAAAATGCTGACTTGTAAATTCCCATTCACCTTGCTAGACCCAAAGCCGATGGTCCCTGCTTTGTGAAAACACTGTTCTCTCCAGAGTGCCTGGCAGTTAGCCTGTCTTGTCTTCTCTTCCACAGCGTGTGTGCATCCCCTAGTTCACCTGCGGTTGCGCATTGAGTGTACAGCGTGCGCGTCCCTGTATTCACCTGCGGTTGCGCGCTGAGCGTATAGCACCGGCGTCCCCTCGTTCACGTGCGATTGCGCAGTGTGTAGTCTGTGCTTCCCTTTGTTCCCTTGTGATTGTGTATCGTGCACAGCATGTGTGCGTCCCTTTGTTTACCTGCGATCACATACGTATACCAGACGCTGTGCTATGTGCAAGATTGCAAAGACAAGGATGCTCCTCTCTGCACTCCCGGAACTTGGCTGGTGTGTGCCTTCTACCAGAGCGCTTAAGGCATTTGCAGTGATCGTGTGTATGCCCTTCCAGTTGAACTCTTTCATGCCGAGGACTACATCCTCTCCATCTTTGTACCTGCAGCCCTTGTCTTATCGCTATTATAGAATAACAATGTCAAGAAAATTTTAGTTTTTTTCTGTCTCTGCTATATTCATTTTCTGAAGCAGGGTTTTTAAATTCTAACTTTATTAAGGTTTTGTTTGTTCTGTTTTTTAGTGATGACTTTGTAGGATATGAGGTCTTTTTTCGTCTCAGAGGGATTGTTAGGTTCTTTCCTTTGCTCAATAGACAGCCGAGTGCCTGCTCCCTGCCAGGCTCAGGCTTGGAGTGCAGTTCTTCGTGGGGTGTCTTATTAGATGGCGATGAGTGTCTGAACTGAACTCTCACAGTAACTGCTAGCACTCCTCTCTCAGTTCTGAAAGACAACTGGCCACTGCTCTGGATGTGCTGACTCAGCCCAGCAGTCCTGTGTTAATTTGCTCAGCTCCCGCAGCAGCCCTGAGCAAGCCTCAGGTCCCTCTGAGCGGAACAGAACAAAGGGGCTTTCAGCAGTCTCGCTTCTTTCCTCTCAAAGTGTCGCACGTGTGTGACCAGTAAAGAGATGATGCTTTTTTAAAGGCCGGATGTAGGTTCAGGTTATAGTCTGCGCTTATGTGTTCTCAAGGGGCAAGGTTGCTACACTGCCAAGAAGACTGTGCTGTAGGTATCTTTGTACAGCTTCTGTCACAGGCCTTACTAAAGTAGGAGCTCAATGGTCACACTGGAACGTATTTGATCAGACTCAGTGTTGATTGGACTTTACGCCCAGGGCATTTGGGAAGATATAAAACTGAGTGGAATACTTAAAAACCTGAATTTGGCCTAACAATGCTGTGTGTACCATGCTTAGTAAATGATTTTGGACCGGTATTACACCTTGCTTAGGAATTCTTTTTTTCTGTTTTTTTCCCCAAAACTTTTTAATGCTTGTTATGACCCCTTAATTTTGAACAATATCAGAGTATTAAACACGTAACAAACCAGTTCAGTAAAGATTGATATAAAGCCCTTGTTTTGTTGGTAATTTTGCAGTCATAGGAAATGTGGAAGGATTAGGCTCCAGGATTGTAAGACGAAAAGAAACGTATTCCAGAATCACTTGGTTGGTTGGTTGGTTGGTTTTTCTGTTATTTGCTTTTTTATAACCATGAACCTGTTTGTAGGACTGTACAGCTTGCCTGTGTTCTCACTCTAAACTTCACACTTTTTTCAGAGTAGCATCACCTTCTTGGTGTGCGTGAAGATATAACCCAGAGAGTGAAGGAAGTTGCTAAGAAGTCTGCTAGTGATGCTCTTGGGAGAAGACTGAGTGCCGAGGGCGGGTCCACACAGGTGCGCCTGGTACACCAAGAAGAAGTGAGCACCATGGATCAGAACAACAGCCTCCCGCCGTATGCCCAGGGCCTGGCCTCCCCGCAGGTAACCCAGCAAAGAGAGGGTGCAGGGAAAGGGCAGATTGTGAGACCAGAGGGCCCTCCTTCACCCTCCTCGCATGCTAAGAGCCTGTTTGTACTGGAAGGGTCTCTCTGCACATCCTCACCTGCAGTTCCACCCAGGGGAGCCCCACAGACACCAAACACCAGCTGGCCTGACCCCCTTTTCTCCCCTTGCTGTAGGGTGCCATGACCCCTGGGATCCCAATCTTCAGCCCTATGATGCCGTATGGCACTGGCCTGACGCCGCAGCCCATTCAGAGCACCAACAGCCTGTCCATCTTGGAAGAGCAGCGGCAGCAGCAGCAACAACAGCAGCAGCAGCAGCAACAACAGCAGCAGCAGCAGCAGCAGCAGCAGCAGGCAGCAGCAGCGGCCCAGCAGTCCACGTCCCAGCAGGCACCCCCGGGGGCCACAGGGCAGACGCCACAGCTCTTCCACTCACAGACTCTCACAACGGCACCTCTGCCAGGCACCACCCCGCTGTACCCATCGCCCATGACGCCCATGACCCCCATTACTCCCGCCACGCCGGCTTCCGAGAGCTCTGGGATCGTGCCCCAGCTGCAGTGAGTACTTGGTGTCTCTCCACGTCCTCAAAGCCCCTGGCTGATGTGTCTGAGGTGTGGCGCCCGTGTGTGATGGGCTGATGTGTTTGAGGCATGGTGCCTGCACGTGATGGCTGACGTGTTTGAGGGGCGGCCCTTGTGTGGGATGGGCTGACGTGTTTCATGCATGGCCCTTGTGTGGGATGGGCTGACGTGTTTGAAGCGTGAGGCCCGCACGTGATGGCTGACGTGTTTGAGGTGTGGCCCTTGTGTGTGATGGGCTGACGTGTTGGAGGTGTGGTGCCTGCACGTGATGGCTGATGTGTTTGAGATGTGGCCCTTGTGTGTGGTGGGCATGGCCCATGTGTATGATGGGCTAACAAGTTTGAGGCGTGGTGCCCGCATGTGATGGCTGACATATTTGAAACGTGGCCCGTGTGTGAGCCGATGTGTTTGAGGCATGGCCCTCGTGTGATGCGCTGACGTGTTTGAGGCATGGCCCACGTGTGATGGGCTGACGTGTTTGAGGCATGGCCCACGTGTGTGATGGGCTAACATGTTTGAGGCATGGTGCCTGTGTGTGATGGCTGATGTATTCGAGGCGTGGCTCTTGGGTGCCGAAGTGTGGAAGTTTGCTCCCCTCCCCTGAGGAAGGTGGGCAGGCGTCTCTGAGCCGCATCCTGAGTGAGAGGTCCGTAATCGTGTTCTCAGAGCCCTGGAGGCTCGTGCTCATGTGACTGGGCGGTGAGGTCTGCAGCCAGATAGCAGTGAGGGTTTCATGTTGTTACAGACGTTTCCTGGAGCTGTTGGGGTGTCTTAGGTCTTTGGGGAGATAAATTGTTTGTCACAGCATCAGTGTTGTTCACGATGCTCCTTGTTCGTTCCTCTTGTGAGGGCTGAACGCCCAGCTGGGAAGGAGGCATGTCCTCCTACGGGCGGGGGTGGGTTTTTCTGTCTGAGCGAAGTATGTCCTGTATATGACAGAGAAGGGCAGGAAAAATCTCTTCTTCCTGAAAAACAGGCAGATGAAGGAAGCAGCAGCCCAGCTCGGGTGAAGAAGCTTTCCTGGTATCCAAAGGAAAACCCCTGAGGGTTTTGGGTTGGAAACCAGACAGGTGCACTTGAAAAGCCTCCTGATAGGACTCTGTCCTGCTGTCCATGTTGCTCTGTGGGCAGTGTCCTCGCATGGATGTGGGTAGGTGCTCTGTCCAGTGACAGACTCTGAGTGGACAGATGTCCTGCCCACGGACACAGATGATACAGCCTGAGGAAGTCCTCCCGGTAGGAGAGTTCACACAGGTAGAGAATTTACCTATTTAAGAAACGAGAACGAAACCCTGTTGTGCAGTTACTGTAGGGGTCCACTGGATGTTCTAAACCTAAGACATGTTGCGAGGTCTTCACAGCCTTGTTTCCTGCATCGTGAAACATTTGTTCTATAAACCTTGTAGGAATTCTTGTATTGTTACGCATCATTTATTGCTGACTGTGTTTTTAAAAAACGCCACAGCAGTAAGAAGACAGCCCAGTGGACTCTCTGGGAAGGGTGAGGCGACGGGGAGAGACCACCCTGAGGGTCTGCGTCGCCCTCAGCTTCTCACCATGTTGCCCAGAGCATCGCGCGGTCTCAGGAAGGCGTAAAAGATGTCTGGAGACATTTGTAATCTTTTAAGCTTCCACAGAACACAGTAGGAATTTGGGATTTTTAGTTTCCCGCCTATGATGGCAACGAGAGGACAGTGTTTGACGATTCTTAGATGCACCAGAAAGGGGGGCACAGAGACAGGCTCTAGTGACAAGGGGGAGATCAGTCATAGTGACCTCAGGCCGCCATGTTTAGATTCAGTACGGGAACGGAAGAGGTTTGTGATAATGTGGGCCCCAGAATTCACTTGCTACGGTTCATAAGTGGACAGATGCTGCAGGCAGCAAGTGGGGACGCAAACGTGAATGGAAGGAGATAGATGATGCAGAAATGAAAAAACTGATCGGATTGATCATCCTAATTTATTTGATAATTGTGGAGCAAAGAAGACTCCATTTTCTCTCCAGGAAACTGAGCCATCAGCGTGTTCAGGGTGTCGCATCCCAGCAGTGCAGGAGCCGCGATAAGCCAGCATCTCCGGAGGCTGGTGCTGGGGATGCGGTGTCGGTGCGTGGCGGCCGCCTGTGTCCGGTGTACGCCTTCAGCACCGGAAAACAGCGTAAACTGGGGTCTGCTGTGCTTAAGTTCCTGTTAAAATTTCTAATGAAGTGTGTTTCACACTGTCTTTATTCTTTTGTGAAAGGGTTTGTTGGACCCAGATGGTCAATGGTGAGGTCTCTTTCCTGATTGGCTGAGGGTTAATAAGTGGTGTAGGAGGCGGTCGGGGGGGGGGTAGGGTTTAGGGCCAGGGTTGGTCCGGTTAGTGGCTTGGGTCCTGGTTGCCCGAACGAGTCAGCATCCTGAGCCCACATGACGCATAAACCTCAGTTTCTCCATCTGAGAGGTGGGAGCAGAAATAGTCACTACTTCACAGTCATTGTAAGCAGCGAGTGAGGTGGTCTGTGTGAAGTGCATCTGCAGACGTGACATATGGGACACTGGACAGATGCCAGCTGCCCCATGATAAAGCCGAGGAAAGGAGTCAGGCCCCGGATAATTGACTGGCACGCATACTGGGAAGCTTAATGATTCAACTGATCACGTTTCGTTTTACATGTTTTGCAGAAATATTGTTTCCACAGTGAATCTTGGCTGTAAACTTGACCTAAAGACCATTGCACTTCGTGCCCGGAATGCTGAGTATAACCCCAAGGTGAGCGCTCTCATAATGTATTTCAAACAGCATCACAGAGCAGGAATCTATGTCTAAAGGGCCTAGAGCTTGCTGAGGTTCTTGACATCAGCAGAGTAAGGATCTAAAGCAAGAGGCCTGTCGCTTTTATCTGTGATGCTTAGCGAGTTGGAGTCGCTCGCCTGATGTTTACTGAGTGTCCATCATGTGAGAGGCCGTGAGACGCGCCACGGCTCTGTCCTCCAGAGCTTGCGTTGTGAGAGCAGGATGTAAATAGTGAGACCCCATGGGTGTCTGAAGACTGTGTAGGATAGATGGTATGGTGTTGGGGTTCCTCCAGAGTAACCCAGCAGGAGCCAGGGAAAGAGACAAGACGAGCCTGGAGTTGATGGTTGTTGGAGAGTAAGCCCAAGGAGGCTGACTGTGATACTTTGATAACAGAGAGGTTAGGAGAAACCGCCCTGCAGGAGAGGTGTGTCTCACAATACAGTACAGTGAGCATTGCTGCCTCAGAACAAGAGGACATCCCTGGGGGCCTTGACAAACAGGGCCGCTGGGGGTGAAGGAGACGAGTGAGGTGGGGCTGCTCCCCGGGGAGGGCGCATGGGCAGAGGCCAGTGCCGACACGCACGATTACCGCATGCTGTTTACCTGCTGACACAGAAACCGTGTTAAAGGCTTCCTCTAGCACAGGGCGAGGGAGGCTCACGGGCACGCAGTCGTATCATGTTATAATCTTTAATGACGTGATAGTAGTTATTTGACCAGTAAAACCAGTAGAGGAAGTTCAGGAAATTCCAAATGATTAAGCTTCACCTGATGTCTGCATAAACTAGAATATCGTGCTAACATTGTTATGTGGTGGTGAAATTGGAGAAAAGATATAGAGCAGTTTTTAAAGTAAAATTGTTAATTTGTCAGTCGTCTTTATTAGGAATATCACGTGAATTTTTTTTTTAAGGTAATTAAATATCAGGTACGAAAATTTGGAAGTTATTTTAAAGTACTTTGTCACTGTTTATGTAACCTAGAAACTGAGGCCATTAATTCAATCCACAGTTAAAATATTTTCTCAAGGTACAATTTTAGCAAGAAAAGGTTTCTTAAAGAGCCAACATGTTTAAAATAAAGTAGAAACTAAAAATAAAGATATCGAGTCTGTCTTTGCATTTATGTAAGTGCTTAACCCATGGATGTTGATTCTAAAAGTCAGGACAGAGGAGCTCGCTCTGTTGTACATCCAGACACTTGTAATCTGACTTAATTTCCTCTAGAGGAAGAAAAAGTTTATTTGCTCAAAAGTTCACATTTATAAAACAATGTTATCAGTTATTTTACAGATTAGAGAACAGCAGAACGTAAGGTGGGGAGGGGCTGCAGAGCAGATTGGGTGCCGCCTGTGCCCCCCTGCTGCGGTGTGTGAGGCACGTGGGTCTCACAGTTGTGGCCACCTGGTGGTACAGGGGTCCTCTGTGTACTGGCCTTGTTCACCGGTTGTGACGTTCTTTCACTGTCCAGTTCTCCAGACAAACCTTGCTAATTATGTCCTCTGACCGTTGTAGCGGTTTGCTGCTGTGATCATGAGAATAAGGGAGCCCCGGACCACGGCACTGATCTTCAGCTCTGGGAAGATGGTGTGCACCGGCGCCAAGAGGTAGGCGCCGGGGGCTCGCTTTGTTGGGGGCTGTCTCACGGCTCCAGGTTAGTGGGCCAACACGTTAAAGAGTTAAGTGCTGCCTTCTGGTTAGAACAGACGGCTGTGATCGCTCTAGAGAACAGGGATTGAGTTTTCTTAAAGTCGGGCATGTGTTTGGGCACTGCACAGTGTGTGTTTATCCACACACTTGGGTTGCATTCTATGTGTGTTTGATAAAATGTACCTATTAAAAATAGGAATAAAGATCCCTTTATGGGAAAAACTTTATAAACACAAGTTCATCCTCAGTTGGAAAGAAACTGATCACAGGATGTCGGAGCTGTCGGGGGCCCATCAGAAGTGGCTCTCGGTCACAAGCGTTGGTGTCACAGGGTTGGGGCCACGCAGGGTTGAGGCTTGTGCCCCTCTGAAAACATGCCTGTCCCCAGCAAGCATACCCAACAGGGCCGTGAGTTTGGTAGATGGCAGAAGCAGGGATCAGTAATAGCATCATAAAGTCTGAGGCCAAATGAACCGAGTTAAACGTGCTCCTGAGAGATGGCTGTGATGCGCGTGGAGGTGCTGGCGCGTCACAGGGACCGTGGGTGACGGCGCTCGCGTCTGAAGCTGTCTTTTAATGGGGAAGGCATGGGTGCCCAGACCACCTCTGACCATTTTCAGAAGGTGGGGAGGAGGCCAGGTCTGGTCTCCACTTTGGCCCGAGCACACAGTGACCTGTCTGCTCGTCTCCCCGGAGGGGGACAGAACCAGCTGCTGTGTCGACTGGTGTCCGGGCTTCTGTGTGGTGTCTAGCCCTCTGCTCCAGAGCATCTGCAGACTGAACTGTGCGTATCTGGTAGGATGGTTACTTTCCAAGGCGAGAAACCACAATGGAGTTATTTTCCCTGAAGAGAAGAGGAGCACCGTCCACGGCCTGCCCGTCATCCCTGACGTTGGCGCCGTGTTCACAGCGGCGGCACTGCCGCTGTTCTGTTTCCCTCATAAGCTCCACGTTGCCGCGTCATTGTCTTACCAACCGACGGGGGCAGAGAATGCATGAACAGCCTCGACGTGAGAGCGCTCGTGTTGTGCCTTCATTGAGAACGAGTCTCGCCATCCCTCCCTACCCAACGGGGCTGCTTGTTTTCATCTCAGTTGAGACGTGTGGCCTGAACGTAACGGTGATGGTGATGCCACATCCGTAAAACCCAGGCCTTCAGGAACTTAGGGAGCAGAAAGGGGGTCGTTCTGAGGCCTGCTGTTTCTGTCAGGGACACGGGAATACTTTTAATAAGATTGTTCGGATAGTATCTGCCGACCTTTTCTTCTATTGGAAGAGGAGTGACTACACTTTTTTTCCTTAATGACTTTCTTTATCTGGAATTTTTATAAGTTACTCATCTAAATACTTAACCTGGTTTTTGAATATAAACGCCTCATATGTTTCCTCTCCTAAGTGAAGAGCAGTCCAGGCTAGCAGCAAGAAAGTACGCCAGGGTTGTGCAGAAGCTGGGCTTCCCAGCCAAGTTCTTGGACTTCAAGATCCAGAACATGGTGGGTAGCTGCGACGTCAAGTTCCCCATCCGCCTGGAGGGTCTTGTGCTCACCCACCAGCAGTTCAGCAGGTGAGTGTCCTGCGGTGGGCGCTCAGGACGAACCCTGCACTCAGCGCAGGCGAATAACACAGCTGGTTAGTTCAGTTCCCTACCGAGGTTCTCGGCCACAGTTATCCTCGCCTGCCTCTGCTTCCCCCTCAGATCGTGACATTCAGAACTCCCCTTCACTGGAATGAATCTGATGTCCCTTCTGTATTTTTCATCATCTTATTGCTTAATAAATAGATTTTAAATGAATGAATCAAATCCACAACCTCTGGTAGCTATTTTTCTGGTTGTCTGAATCTTTTTCTTAGTCTACATCACATCAGACCCACCAGCAGAGTGTGAACACAGTGATAGGAATATTCTGCCTATTTTTCCTTCTGCTTCTTGGTAAGGATTTGAAAGGCAAAGGCCCTGCCGGCCTCCCCACCCCTCTCTCCACCCTTATCCTTGCGCCAGCTACGCTGGTTCTGCTGGTCCTCAGACATGCCCTGCGGCACCAGGTCTGTGCCACTGTGCTCTGCACGCCTAGAAGGTCCCACTCCAGCCCCAGGTGTCCACCCAGCATCTGGTCCTTGGAGAAGTACCTGAACCCTGAATCCCCACTGGCTCAGACATACCACACCAACCAACCGAGACCACTAGGGTCAGGATTTGGTGGGGGCCTTACGCTCAATCCACTGTCTGCATTCCCCTCTGGCTAATCGCGAGTGTTAACAGATGGAGCCATCTTGTTGAAGGAGGGTCAGGAATGAGGGGCAGACAGACTTACTATCTTAGTCTCAGGGATCCATGGCACGGTTCTCGTTCCTGCATCAGACGTGGATTCAGCAGAAATGGGGGAGGGCACAGGAGGGGGTGGTGACAAGCAGGTCTTGCCCAGAGCTGCCCTGTCACGTGGCTGCTCAGCTGTGTGATCTGTGGGTCTGCCGGGGCTGACAGTGCTCCACCCAAAAACTTTTAGTTCCTAAACCGCCCTTGCCATTGCCTTGCAGCTATGAGCCAGAATTGTTCCCGGGTTTAATCTACAGAATGATCAAGCCCAGGATTGTTCTCCTTATTTTCGTCTCTGGAAAAGTTGTGTTAACAGGTAAGTTGTGACAAGACACCGCATCTGAATGGGCTTTGGGGCTAACGTTTTTCTCGGTGGTTTGTGTTTACCGAAAAGGAACTTCACAGTGTGGGGTACGCTGGCTGATGACTTGTACAAAGGCGTCTGCCACTCATTCTTGTTGCTCCCACTTTCATACTCTGAAGAGACACAAACCCACAAGGGGGGTGGGAGGAGGAAGGTCAGCCCCCAGCACACAGTTCTCGAGGGAGAGGGGGCCAGTCTTAAACACTCAGGGAGCGGGTGGTTACCGCTGGGATGCTCCTCGCAGCCGAGGTTGTCCTACTCACCTGGGGTCAGCCCTCTCAGCCGGGGTCGGCCCTCCTCAGCCGGGGTCGGCCCTCCTCAGCCGGGGTCGCCCTCCTCGGCTGGGACCCACCAGAGCATCATCACGAGGCCAGAGGGCGGCTCTTGGTGGCCGGGCGGAGGTCGTCTGGCTGCTGCCCTGCTGGCTCCCTCAGCGTGTGGTGCCACAGGAGACAAGCTGCCAAATGCCTGCTCTGTAATTTAAAACTTACTTTGGGAAAATTTAATTTAAAAGTGAGAATAGGGTTGTTACCAGGGATGCCACCCTTCATCTTAAATGCCTGTGTCTGCTCATCTAACAGTGTAGGAAGAAGCGTGCTTCTGGTTTGCTGTTAAGTAAGTCTTACCCTCTTAGCACGTTCAGAAATGCAACTTCACATTGGTCTCCACTCCACCTTGTCTCCTCAGGTGCTAAAGTCAGAGCAGAGATTTATGAGGCGTTTGAGAACATCTACCCTATTCTGAAAGGGTTCCGGAAGACCACGTAATGGTTCTGGGCATGCCTGCACCCGCCCGCTCACCCCCAAGCAAGGCCATCTGGTCCCCCAGCGTATTGCTGTGGTGGCTCAGGCTCCTGGCCAATGGACTGCAGATACAGGTGATCCCGATGCCACCTGGACACTGGGTGGCACCTCTGTGAGCCACTGCCACCGGGCGGCCATCTGCTGAGGTTTAGTTAAACCCTCACTGCTGTTGACAAGCCAGCTTAAGGGACAAGCGTCCAGTGTTAGCCACCTCTACAATGGATTGGACTTTCATTTTTTCCCATGAACCAGTTTTTATATTTCTACCAGAAAAGTAAAGATCTTTTTTAAAAGTGTTGTTTCTCTAGTTCGTAACTCCCAGGGTTGTTTTGTGCCAGATACATTCCGCCTCTCAGTGTTGGAGGACAGACAGCTGCACCCGACAGCACGGGGTGCACACTTTCAGAGTGCTCTGTACAATAAACGCTGTTCATGATTGTATCAGATGGTGTGATAAATGACAGCTGCCGACTCGTGTACCATACTGACAAGGAAAGTTGTATCCTAGACATCATGCCTGAAACCACTCGTGTTTTGTGTGTGTGCTTGTTTTAATCCACATTTCATGGTGGTCACAGTGGGGAGGGTGGAACTGCCCAGAAACTAGTGACCTGGCATGTCATGGGTGACTCACTGACGACACCACTCCCTCCCTCCGAGAAGGCGCTATTTAAAAGTAAGGCCAGTAACGTCTCCGCGTGGGAATTCCACACTGCCCTTTCCTGTGCGGTGCCTTATGTAAGGAACGTTTTCTGTGCACGTCACGGCATCTGTATAAACTTCAGACATGGACACGGACACGCACATGCGCACATACACAATCAATCAGGCCAGCATCGGATGCCGGCACAACAGTGTCCCCCCCAACCCCAGGAAGACGTGAGGCTTTGTGTGGAGAAGAGCTTCAGGGTTCATGGGGACACGTTACTGGGGATAAACCAGAGTGAGTGTCAGAGCTGCCCCTCACTTTTCAAGCACCATCAACAGCAACATCTCAGATGTGCCTGGTACTGGGTGCGCATCGCTGGTGCTAGAAAAATGACTGTGAGACCTTAGGGGCTGGACGATCCCTTAGCATGGTTCAAAGCATGGACTTTGGAACCATGAGCTTAAAACAGAATATTGAGTGGAGCAGATCCCGCCCTGAAAGCCAACCCCCACCACCGCCCCAGCCAGCAGCTCTTGGGCCAACGGCTGCTTGGCCAAGTGGTTCCTGTGCAAATGGCTCCTTGGCCAAGCGGTGTGCTGGGGACGGGCTGCGAGCAGGATGGCACTCCTCTCCTGCCCTCCAACTTCTCACCTGTAAGTGGGCGAGTGCTGACCTAGATCAGTTGAAGTGGAGCCTTTTCGAATCAAGGTTTTGTGGCCTCAAATCAGGGTTTTTTTCGATCCTGTGAGGCTGGTTCTGCTCCTTCAGAACCGCAACTCTGTGGGCCACATCTTCACAGCCCACGTCCCTATCCCCTCTCATCTCTGCAGCCCACATCCCCAGCCTCCACCCCCTCTCACCTCCCCATCCCACAACCCAGGCCCCCCATCCCCTCTCACCTCTGTACCCCATGTCCCTGAGCTCTGTCCCTTCTCACCTCTGCAGTCCACCTCCCTGTCCCCATGCCCTCTCACCTCTGCAGCCCATGTCCGCTCTCACTTGCTCAGCCCACAATACAGACCCCCGTGGCCTCTCACTGCAGCCCACGTCCCTGGATCCCCATCCTGTCTCACTAGATGGGTGGGCTCAGCACCACTCATGTTCCGGGCTCCATGTATACCACCAGGCTGGGATATCAGCTGGCATCAGGGACTAGTCTGGGCGTGTTTGTCTAAAAATTTTTCTTTAACTTTGGAAACTTTAGGAGGGAAAATGCTGTAAGTGGTTTGACCAAATTATGCGTATAATTCACTTTTATTATAAATATACACAGAAAACCGCTTAATCCCACATTCATATATAACAAGTGTATCTTCCCAGGTTCATTTCCGCACATATACACGTATAAAGACTTTTTCAAAAACATGGTCACAATGTATATACCATCTATAACTCAGGCCTGCATCTGAGGTGGTGCAGGTCTGCCTGGCTGAGACCGCGTGGCATCCTGCGTATGGACAGGCCAAGGTTTGCTTCATCTCTGGCACTGGGCATTTCTATTATACTGCAAACAGTGCCTCAGGCAACCTGTGCCCCTCTCTCTGGCAGAACCACCTCCTCGGAACAGTCCCTGAAGTGAACTGCAAGTCTGAGTGGTTCTCACCACTCTTGGGACGAGGCAGCGTCCTAGGCTGTGTCCGTCACGTCCTGCTTCCACACAAACTCCTCTGCGTAGCCAGTGCCCAGCGCACAGCTGTCTGCGCAGGTGAAGATGGCCAGGACGCCCCAGTCGACGCTCGTGCCCAGGCTGTCGGCCTTGAGGAGGTTGAGTAGCTGTGGCATGACCTGAGGAGAGGATGCCGTGAGGGTTGGGCCGGGTGCCGCTGCCCCGGGGCCCAGGCACCCCCATACCCTGCGGGCACATCGTGACCATCCAGAACCCCCTGCGCTCCACCTCCAGGCCCCGCCTTCCTGCCTCACTGGCCACCTGTCTGGCATCTCCCTTTTCCATCTGAAAAAGACACTCCTGAGGACAAGCAGCCAGTTACGCTCACTGCTAACCTGCACAGAAGAGCTGCGGCTTCTATGTGGGCATGTTTATCTTGTGTCACTTCAGATCTGAATAGCAGACGCTGTGACTCTACCTGAAGAAATGCTAGCTGGGGGGAGACCACCATGTTTGCAGACTGGAAGGGACCTCAGAGGTCAGCAGTCCAGTCTGAACAAGGAAAAAGTGCTTCATAGATGCTTTGCCCACTTGTCTCTGATAACAGCTTTGACAGTAAGTACTGAACTGAGTTTTGCAGATAGTCTTCTAATTCCTTTTTCACACAGAAACAAACAAGCATCACTTACTATTCTGTAATCCCATGAATCAAGAATATTTCCACCTAACCCAGGTGGACTTTGATGCTAACAATCCCTCTGCACAAAAACCATTTATCTTAATGCTTATACCCATCTGTTCTGCTAACAAACCCATTAGCCAATATTAACGAGAGTATGTTCTAAGACACTGATCTCAGAAAGTACAAAGCACATGTTAGGAAAACTGAACTGTGTTCTCCAAAAACGTGCTGGAATCTTAACCCCTATATCTGAAGATGTAATCCCATTCGGGAATAGGGTTTCCTTTGTTATGTTAATGAGGTCGTACCAGTGTAGGATGTGTCTTAACCCCATCACTTTTGAGATATAAAGGAGCAGATCAGGCACAGAAGCAACAAAACACAGAGGGGACGGTGGAGGAAGAAGAACACTAAAGACGCTGAGACAAGGATTTTCCTCCAGAGCAGACAGAGACAGCATTCTCCTGAAGCCGGCGCCCTGAGTTTGGACTTCTAGTCTCCTGAACTGTGATAAATAAATTTCTGTTGGCTAAAGCCACCCACTTGTGGTATTTCTGTTACAGCAGCACTAAGAGACTAAGACAGAACTAATATTATTTACAATGACAAGGTGACAACAGAGGCACTAAAAAGAATAGCAAAACCACAGCAAAGGTGGAGAGATGGGGATGGTGTAGATGGTCCTCATTATCACAGAGATGACGCAGTAAATTGACAAATGTCAGGACAGAAGCGTTCAGAGGCGGAAACACCTACCAGAAAAGCAGACTTCTTCGGGAACAGGCTCGAGGTGCAGGGAACCCCACCTTCACCACAGGGCACCTCCACACACCCCACCTTCACCACAGGGCACCTCCACACACCCCACCTTCACCACAGGGCACCTCCACACACCCTGACTTCACTGTATGTATACTTTGACAAAAGTTTAAATGTCTGGAAAGGTATCCGGGCTGATTGTATACTTTCAAGGTCATACCTGGAATACTTTCTTTCTTTCTTTATTTATATTGTACTTCAGGTGGAGGCTTACAGAACAAACGGTTTCTCATGAAACAGAAGTACACGTTGTTTTATGACATTGGTTAACAACCCCACAACATGTCAACCCTCTAACTTCTCAGCCTGTTTCTTTGTTTGGTGAAAATACACATAGCCAAACATACACCATTTCAAAAATTTCTACATGCAGTTCAGTGACATTGACTATGCTCTTCGAATTGTGCCGTTATTCTCACTTAAGATGAAGGCTTACAAAACAAAATAGTTTCTCATTTAACAGTTATTACAAATGCTGCCCTATGACAATGGTTAACAATCTCACAACACATCAACAATATCCTTACTCAACCTTG